ATTATCCATGAATGATTTTCTCTTATTTATTGCTTTTTCTAACTGTTTTGTTCATCACTCTTTAAATAGAACCAACTTTGATTATCTACAAGAAGTGCCTATCTTAATATTGGATGTTAATGAAGACTTTAAAGACAAACACGACAGTCTGGTTGAAAAGGTAGATTTATACAAAGAGTATAAACTAGTATTTGCTTGGTCTTGTCTAAAAATGTATTCTAATTTGTGAGAAAACAATTTTCTAACAGAAATGACTACATAAAGTTACATTAAGGGGCAATTAAAAGCTTTAGAGGGATTTAGACTATTTAGATTGTAATCCTAACTTGAAATTCTAGCTTTGTGGCCTTACCTAAAATCCTTTAGTTCCTTTATCTGAGATACAGGAATATTCACAAAAGTTCTTGTAGCTTCTCTGCTTTTTCCTCTTTCCGATTTGGGAAACCCAGGACTTGTTTTGTGTCTATAGGCAACAAAGAAAATGAGTTTAATAATAAACTATTTGTTTATTTTTTCAACTAAATTCAATATGAAGAATACTTGAAATTGTAAGATACAGATCTTATCCATTTTTATGTTAGCTGAAGTCTTGAGATGAAAGGAGTTTTAGTTTTGAAATTTATTTGGACTGGGGATCGAGCCCACAACCCTGGTATGGGCCCTGACCTAGAATTGAACCGTGACCTCTCCTGGTTCATAGGTCGCTGCTCAACCACTGAGCCATGCTGGCCAGGCTATTTGGGATCTTGTCAATGATGAATTGTCATTGTCTAATCATTGAGTCATTGTCTTAATCAGATTTAATCTATGCCCCAGATGTTTGGTATATTCTATTTAAGTGAGTGGTACCTTTATTGATAAAGGTACTGGGAGAGAACTTATTAATGAATGCTTGAGAGAGAATAGTCATGAGAATTATATAACAAATATTTATGTATTTGTGTTAATTTAATTAGTGATCTAAGGTCTAAAGACTTAGATCACTTTTGTGTTCGTTTAGTTTTGAGATAAATTTGACATTTCTTTTCTCCTGTCACAAAATGTTTGCTATTTCCTAATAGGTACTTGACATTCATTAAGGGATGTATCTCAAGAATTTTTTAAACCTCAACATATTAGATAACTACTATCGCAACTTGTTTTTTCAATCATATAAATTAAAGCATATCTGGAAAATTCAAGTGACTTCTTTCTTATTATGAATGATATTTAAAAATATAGGATGGAATTCACTTAAATGATAACTATTAAACTAAATTAAGTCAGCCATTGAAGCACCAACAGCCAACCATCATTTTAACGGAAATGAATCTGTAAAACCATTTTTTTAAAATTTAATTGCAACATTTCTGTGAAGACTGACTAGAAATCATTTTGTATTATTTATTTTTTGTCTTCATTAATAATGTTAGCAGTTGGTTTTCTTTTTGAAATATTTTTACATGGCAATAATTGTTTTCTATTCAGGAGAATTACTGTGTAGTCTAGAATGTGAAGAGAATAGAATCTTGTTACTGTGCTGTTGGTTAGTTGGCTAGATTCAGTTACTGCTTATATTACCTTTCCTCATACTTTAACATTAGAGTATATATAAGATTCAAATTTGTGCTTCAGAGAAATTATAGAAAATTAATTGGGGGAGGGGGAAATATTGCAAGAAAAGAAAAATTACAGATATGTTGCATGTCTGAACCTTCAGAATTGTTTAAACCATTGCAGTTATTAATGTTATCAATACTAAAGCTGCACATGTCAGTGGTCTGAGGTATTATAAAGAGATAAAATTATGATTATAAGTTTAAAGATTATAAAACGAGATTATGGCTGTTATAGAACTATATCAATCTTAGGCTAAATTGAATAACTCCTTTAATTACATTCTGTCATTCAGCTTTTACTACTAAAGTATTTATTAATACACTAGAGCAGTGATGGCGAACCTATGACACGCATGTCAGAGGTGACACGCGAACTCATTTTTTTGGTTGACTTTTCTTTGTTAAATGGCATTTAAATATATAAAATAAGTATCAAAAATATGTGTTTTACTATGGTTGCAAATATCAAAAAATTTCTTTATGTGACACAGCACTAGAGTTAAGTTAGGGTTTTTCAAAATGCTGGCACGTGGAGCTCAAAAGGTTCGTCATCACTGATCTAAACCAATGTTTGCTTTAGGGATCCCTCTGGGATGGAGGAGAGGTAATGGCTGCAGACAGACCTTGAGTCACTCTCATGGACTGTGTGGCTCTGGCTTTAGTGACTATATCTACCTGTGTCTTGGTTTCCTCTCAATGCAGTACAATGAATATTTGACTGCCAGGGTATCAGTGTATTAACAATAAATTATTCCCACTATCTGAATAACATTGGCACAGGGGAGCTTCTCAAATGAGGGACATCTGTTATTGATCAACTCCATGGGAGAATCTCCTGGGCTGATCCCTGGTGGATGAGGAGCTGCCAGGAGCATCTTTTCTCCTTTTCGTTCCCTGCGATTTTGACCTTTCTGTGGACTCTCCTAAATGTTTCAGTGTAGTTCACAAATGGCCTGGTGACCTTGTCCATCTGTGCTAGCCACACCCAGTCTCAGGTGAAGCACCACCCCTATCCAGATGTGGCTCATGGGCCTGAGCTCTGGCTTCTGAGGAGCTCAAAAGCCTTGTGACTCAGACAGATGGGC